CCAACCCCACTGCCACCCAGCCATAACCCACCAGCCCTGTCACCTTCCCACGTAGCTGCCCGGTTGCTGGCGGTGAAGCCCTCAGAGCCAGTCCAATTCTCGTCCTCACCACAGTACAGGTCCGAGCGGGAGGTCAGCTTATCTCTGCGTGACAGGACGGAGATGGATGAGAACCAAACATGGTCCCCATGGGATCCAACCACACCCCACGGCGATGGGCTTACCTGTACTCTTCCTTCTGCCTCCGAGCCCGCACCAGGAAGGTGGTGAAGATGGCTATGGCCACCACCAAGACGACCAACAGTACCCCTACGGTCACCCCAACCTTGCTGACCCGTGAGCTGCAGGCGCTGTCTTGGTACCAGAACGCTGACTGCTCCGAGCACCTGGTGGGGATGTCCAGGTGGTGAGAGTGATGCCAGCTTCACCCCAAACCCAGGGGAACACCCGTTTTTTGGGGTGGTGGTGGTGGTGGATGCACAACAGGGTGCTTACTCGCACTGTGGTCCAGAGCGTGTCACGGAGCACGTGCCATGGACACAGGAGTAAGGGTTGGTAGATCGTTTGTCACATCTGGTGATGCAGATGACGGCGGTGGTGGTGATGAACGGGGAGTAGTAGGACTGGAATTGTTCCGGGATGGTTTTCTCGCACAGACCTAAGGGTAGAGGCGCACAGCTCAGGGCACGTGGTGGTGTGGTTCTGGGGGGTCCTGGGGTGGGGATGAACGTGCTGTGGGGCTCACTTACTTTTATCAAGCTCTTGCACCTCGTAGCTGGTGACGTTGTTAAATGCAGGGTTGAAGCATAAAGAATCTGGGATGGAGAGAGCAGCTGCTGGTGGGCACCGTTGGGCTCAACCCCCCCCCCCCCCCCCACCCAGCAAGGACCTTGCCCTAGTGCCAACTGACACGTGGGGGGTGACCACCAGCATCACTCACCGTTTTTGTCACAGTCGGTGTAGTTGCTGAAGGCATTGACGAGGTTCTTGGAGATGGCCTCCACCGTCTCGTTGGCCGTTGTGCTGGCACGCACCGTCAGGAGGACCGTGTAGTTCACCGCGATGCTGCCCCGGCTGCAAGGAGAAGGAGCACCGGTGGCTTGGCAGGGCTAGGCTGCAGTCCTGTGCTGCAGGGGACCCAACTGGGACCAGTTTGGGGTCCCCAGCGTGG